CCCCAAAACCCCAAAACCCCAAAACCCCTGGCCATCAAAGAGGATTGAAGATATAAGACAGAGTCTTGTTTTTAATTATAAGATTTGTAATGAGCAACCTAAAATGACAGCATGAAGGGTGCTGTAGCAATGCTACTCGCTATATTCCTGAGAATCAATTGTACTTATGTGATTACGATCAACGTATCCAATATCCCAACCTCGATGTAACTCATCTTGTTGATCCTTCGGTCATCGAAATGACCATCAAAATCATCGACCACTGTTGCAAAGACTTGATGGCTTTCACTATAAAGCAAAATAAAGGAAGAGCCTTTGACAAATATGAAGCCTTGAGCAAGCGAGTGAAAGCTGAACTTGACTATCTTGCAGAGCAGCTAGAGAAAGCTCTTGATACAGGTGATCTGTTCATATTTAGCTCGATTCTTCATGAAGCTGGTGAAATCAGAAATAGACTGCAAAGCGATCCTCTGTATCTTGATTTTGCTATTGCCAAAGCTTGGTCTTACTCAGCAGCTGTGGCTCAATCTAAAGAGCTAAGAAGTTCTGAAGTTGTCGAGATGGAACTGAAAAAGAAGTATGAACTAACATTCGAAAAGTTAAAGATACAAACAAGAAAGACTCAAAGAAGCCATCAACAAGAAATTAGCGATCTTGATGCTCAACTTGAAGCTGAGAGGGCCACTTCATCAAATCTGAGACAGGAAATCGAAAAACTTCAAGATACCCAAACCAGAGAATTAAAAGAACTCAGTCAAAGAGCCCAAGACCGAGTTTCCGAACTTTCTAATTTTATTGGTGAATTGCAGCAGAAAGCTCAAATACTTGAGCAAACTGTTGTAGAACTTAAAGGACAAATTGCTGTTCTTGGATCTGAGCTCGAGACAGAGCAAACCAATTATCAAGACCTTCAACAAGAAGTCAACTTGCTTAAAGAAGGACACCAACAAGAGGTAGAAAAGCTTAAGAAGAGCTCGGAAGACAAGGTAAATGAGCTCAAAGGCTTTATCAAAGGATTACAGAACAACACTCAAGATCTAAAACAAATTATTAACGAGAGAGAGAAAGAAGTGTCTGCTCTTAAGGATACAGATCAGAAGAAGGGTTCAAATATACTTGCCTTAAATGGAAAGATCTCTGAGGAGAGAGAAGTCTTTAAGAAGCTACAGACAGAATATGATGATCTTGTAGAACAATTAAATCAAAAAGAAGAAGAAATCAAAGATACTAAGAAAAAGCTTAATGACGAACAAAATTCTTACAGACAAGATACCCAGAAACTCAAAGATGATCATACCCAAAGCATGGTCCAGCTACGAAAAGCCAAGGATACCGAGATCAAGGCTCTCAGTGATGCTAGTGAAGCCAAAATTGAAGATTTGAAGAAAACTCTTCAGAATAGGCAGAAAAATGATTCGAATAAAATTAAAGATCTTCAAAACAATGTGAAGACTCTTAAAAACTCTCTGGCACAGACTAAAAAAGAAAACAATAAACTTGCTGAAGAGGTCAAAGCCATTAGCTCAGATTACGAAAGGATGGAGCAATCACTAATTTCCAAACTCAGCATTTCGGACTATTCAGACTTCAGCCTTCTCTACAACACTAAAATATTGTCGACTAATACTGACAAGAACAGACAGTTTGGCCCAAAATCTGAATTAGACCTTGAACTTAACAACCCCAAACACATGCAGTTCCTGAAGTCTCTCACACAGAGAATACCAGAGCTTGATTCATTCAATCTCTTCAAAATCCCAGTTAAAAGTCAAGAGGTGAAGACTTTCTTGGCAAACTATTTCCCCTCCAAAGTGAAAGTGTGTCATTTTAACGTTGGCTCAGAACTGAGTTCATCCCTGTCCTTCTACTGGAAAGAATTGGAAGAAATGGAGAAGAGGGTCACTGACCAGATGTACATCCATAAATTTGAGCTGTCTGAGTCCGAACTAGTTGACCTTCTCTCTGCAAATAAAAATAAGCCTGTCTTTGGACTCCGCTATTGCAAACTTCCCCTCTATTCTAGTCCGAACTTTAAAGGAAAGCTAAAGGGAAGCACAATGGATGGGCTATGTTTGATGGGCTGATTCAAAAATTCTTATGCATCTTGGACAAAAAGTGGATCACAATTTAAAAACTTGATGTTTGGCCTTTCCAAAGAACAAGATTTTAGAAAAAATTTACAATGGATTAGTTTGGATGATTGCTGAATAGAAGAAAGACAAATCAAACAGATTTTGAAAGCCACTGGGTTTGGACATTTGCAAATTTGTAAATACAGTGGATAGAACTGAAAATAAAATTTCTGATGCTAAAATATTCTTTACTAAGTTAGTTACCGATATCTTAGTTAGTAAATTTCTAATTGTAAACCTTCATTCAATAGATTTGAGATCAATTGGGGTTTTGGGGTTTTGGGGTTTTGGGGTTTTGGGG